GGCGGTAGCCGAAGGGACACTTGATTTTATCTGCATTATTTAGATTTTCATAAGGAGAATGTATATATTAATTATGAAATAGAAAAATAAAATATTATGATAAGTTTATCATATAAAGTGCTGAGTAACAAGTACAGAGAGAAAAACTAGTTTAACCAGAAGACTGTCAAAATAGAGCAAAAACTTCTCCATCAAAACGTGCTTAACTTGTGGCTGGTATTAATAGACAGAAGATAGCTTTTTCTCATTTTTCTTGTTTGTTTGTTTATATTGTTTAGTGGTTATACATGTAAAACCACGTTCTCTAAAGAAGAAAAAGCCAGATGCAACAGACATTTAAGTTTTGCTGCTCCACGTAAAACCGTGACAAAGAAGGGACTTTGTCTGTCTTTTATGTTTTTATATGATATAAATATATAAAAATATATTTTATAGATGAAGAAATAGAGGGAAGTAAAGAGACTTATAGTCAGACTACTCATTTTAGCAAAGTTTGGTTTAGAATGTAAATGACTTGATTCATAATATAGTGCTTTTATTTAAAAATTTTGCAGAATTCATGATTTGACATCTTATGAGCAAATAATTTGGGAAAGTTTCTAGCAGATTTCAGAAATTAGCTATAAAATGAAGCAGAATTGGAACCTTCTGAGTTCTAAATTACATCTAAGTTATTGAGCACTTGACCTTTGTTTAAAATGCATATATCTAATAAAACTTATTTTTAAATGGACAACTGACATAGAAGTTGAAAATAATACACATGGTATGTGATTGTCATTTAAAATATCCCCATTTTAACTTTGTTGTAGCAGTAATTTAAGACTTTGTGCATCCTCTAGGATAATCAAATATTCAGATTTTCTAGAAGACCGCAATTTAAAATATTTAGTCCCAATGGCTCTCCAAATCATTATTAACTTTCAGAAATCCTAGACTTTTACCCCACTCCCATATCCCAGACTGCATCTTATACCTAGATATGGCACAATGCTGGTTTTCCATGGGTCCAGATGTTTTAAACGAAAGGGTGCGTAGTTACTATAATCTGGGCCTCATCAACAACTTCCTGCTTCCTCTTATTTTTTGCTTAAATATTACAATTCCCTTTTTCTAGTTGTTAATTATTTAAAACATTCTTTTAAAGCAAAATGCCTAAAAACCCACACTTTATATAGTGAGACCTAGCTGCTTCTGCCTCTCTCTGACAGAGTTTTGGGAAATAACTCTTGTTGTCCAGAAATTACACCTATCTCACTTGATGAACAGAGCAAGTTCACATAAACAGCCCATAGACTGTCTTGTCACTGTGGTGACTGTGATAGGTACACCTGAAAATTTGTCTCAGATGTCGAAGGCAGGTGAAATAACAGTGCTTTGTATAATTAATCTAAGTGCATAAATGGAGAGAGTTAAGAGGTGTGACTGATTCTGCACTGGTAATTTTTAATTGACTGTGAGGAGTAGAGGGAAGTTGGCTGGAGGTTTCGAAGGAGGGGTTGGTGTAATGAGAACAGCTGGTAAAACTTAGGGCATTCAAACAACAGCGGCAAGTGAGAAGTATTCTACAAATGACCAGAAACACTGTGGTACCTTTTGTTTTCAGATGCGAATCGGATTGCATTCTGGGTCAGTTTTTGCTGGAGTTGTTGGAGTTAAAATGCCCCGTTACTGTCTTTTTGGAAACAACGTCACTTTGGCTAACAAATTTGAGTCCTGCAGTGTACCACGGAAAATCAATGTCAGTCCAACAACTTACAGGTACTGCTGCATTGACCACCTGAAATCTATTATTTTATTATTTTATTGGGAGAAATGGTATCTGGTCAAGGAGTAAAGAAAAACTTCCACTGTATGTGGACATCTGCCCTGGGACTGTTGCTGCTATTTTTGGATTTTACTGCCATCAAGCTTTCATCCAAATGATCATATTTTTCCAAATTGTTTTCCTTATAAATTTTTATCTTTATTGGAAAATGATTTAATGAACATTTCTAACTCTGCAACACTCTGTGTTTATCTGGAAGTTTCTTTAAAAAGCATGGGATTTGTATTCAGAAGACATGTCTTACAAGTTCCAAATACAAGGCTTACCAGATGTGTGATCTTGAGCAAGGCAGTTAATTAATTCAAATGATGTAAAGGATATGATTTAATTACCATATTTAATAGGAAATGTTGGGCTGGTGTGGACAGAAAACTTTTTAAATTTGTCAATCACCTATAGTTTTATACATTTTTATTTATTTTACCCTTACAGTTTTATACATTTTTATAATTAATTTTTACACATTTCATACGTACAGAAAGACATCTAAGAAAATACAACATCCATGAGGCCGATACCAGTTTTAACAGACATCAACATTTTGCTATATTTGTTTCACATCCCTGTTTTAGAAATAAAATATTGTCCCCATTCATTTACTATCTGACATGCTAGACCTCCATACCCCTTAGGGCAGTAGTCTCCAGCCTTTTTGACACCTGGGACCAGTGCTCCTGTGAGAATCTAATGCCTGATGATCTGAGATGGAGCTGAGGCGGTGATGCTAGCGCTGGGGAGTGGCTGCAAATGCAGATGAAGCTTCTCTCTTTCTCCCCCGCTACTCACCTCCTCTCCTGAATTCATCACTTTCTAACAGGCCACAGACTGTTACTGGTCCGTGGCCTGGGGGTTGGGACCCCTGCCTTAGGAACATCTGAGAACACATACATCCTGCAGACAGGTAGGCTCTCAAAGAGAGAGGCAATAAGGCACTTAGAGCAATAAAATATTTCGCTTCTGTTTACCAGGAAGGACCATGGACAGAAAGAGGCCAGAAGTGTAACTCTCATTTAACTTTCTCCTGATAGAAAAATAAAGCCAAAGAAAAATAGATTTCTACCAAATCTGTTCATTTCCTTTTATGACTTGCCTTGAATCCACTCAACATTATATTTTTGAGATTTTTTTTTCTTGAGGAAATATCAATCTAGTTTTTACAAATCTAGTTTATTTATTTAAACTGTTTCTAATGCTGTGGTGTGCTGGTAAACCAGCTTTGGGGAGTGAAGTGGAGAATCCCTGCTGACTAACATTTACCAATTTCTGTAGTGTAAATACTTTTACCATGGCAGGTTTTGAGCCACCGATGGCTTGCAAATTCCTCAGTATTTTATAGTTGGCTCTCACAAGCCAGTATGAGCCAGATCAAACATGTCACTATATATGCATGTGATAGAATATGTATTCTAGAATATGAATAAGCCAGAATCTGTCTTCTACCCATGGTTAATTAGAGTATATTCTGTTTTTTATTATTATAAAAATGACTTGATAAATATTCTTATATATATATGTCTCTATATAATATACCTATACATGGTATTCTCAGATCATGGGCTATACCCATTTCAACTTTACTAAGGATCAATTAGCTGTTCAAATTGGTTTTACCAATCTGTATTCTACCAATGGTATATGAAGGTTTCTTTTCCCCAAAGCCTGATATTATCAGACTTAATCATTGTTAACAATATGATGAGTGTTATGGGACATCTTATTGATGCTTAATCAATCTTGTGTAATTTATTTATTTAATTTTCACAACTGTCTTCAGAGACATGTACTATTCTTCCCATTTTAAAGATTAGAAAACTGACATCTTTGCCACTATTTATACCTAAATCTATCAGTTTTAAGTGTATCTTTTTACTGTGGGATCTGTGTCTTTTCAGTATATATTACCAAATACTATGCCTTTTAAAAAATAGACAATTAAAAATATTTATGACTTCATCACTAAAGCATCATTTCATTAGTTTTTATTTTGCAGATTATTTTCATTGATATGCTGATAAAAATTAGTTAATAGAATGTTCGCATGTTGTATTCTACTCAAGATCTGTTATTCTTGAGACCTAGATTTCTATTCAGTTATTTTTTTCAGTACATAGTGTCACAGTACCAAAATCTAATGCAGCACCATCATTTTATTTCATTTAGATGTGGCATCACAGACTGGTAAGTAGAAGGCCATAGTCTAGTTGGGTAAATGTGATGAGAGATTTTCTGTAGAAGTTGGTTTAGAGCTCAGAACTATTCAACATTCTTCATCCATGGACTGAATAATCGATTAGAGATATGCTTATTAACTTTGTGTTTGACAGAAAGCTAGGAAAGCAAATGAGAAGAGGAGCTGGTAACTTAATCAATAGGATCAGGATTTAAAATGAGATAGATTAGTATAATGGACAAGTAGTAGCAAATAATAAAATTTCGTAGAACAGATGGATTTAAGAAGGAAAAATATTGCAAATACCAAATGGGAAGTAGAGTGTCAGTATGTACAATTAAATCTCATTTTAATCCTACTGACCTAGAATTGTAAAAATTCGATTGAGAGATCAAAAGTTATTCTTACATTATTATATATATACACACACATATACATATATCTTATGTAAAACTCTTCCTTCCCAACTTCTTTCCCATGATTACTTCTCAGTAATATTTACGAAATGAATGAGTCAATAAATGGACAGTGTTTTAACTCTTTCAACTTAGGAAGCCTTATTCTATAACATTATATTTATGTATTTTGTTTGCTATTATTAGACCTTTGGATTATTTTCCCCCACTACTGTAAGTTGCGCTGTTATACAGATTATATCTTTGCAAAAATATTTTATAATTCGTTTTTCCTAAGATGAGTGAAATACATTATTTGGTAGAATTTTTTTGTTACTGTGAATTGAATCTTTATTGTATTTCTGTGAAGATTTTTTTAAACATCATTAGGATTTTGTTGTCAATCGCAGTGAAGTGGGTGTTTTATTAATATTCTCAGGAATAGTCATTTAGTTATGTTGTCTTTTCTTGAGTAGACAGTTATGTCAGTTGTAAATTTTAATGGTAACATTTTTATTTTAATCTTTCAGATTACTCAAAGATTGTCCTGGTTTTGTGTTTACCCCTCGATCAAGGGAGGAACTTCCACCAAACTTCCCCAGTGATATTCCTGGAATCTGTTATTTTCTGGAAGCTTATCAACAAGGAACAAATTCAAAACCATGGTTCCAAAAGAAAGATGTTGAATATGGCAATGCCAATTTTTTAGGCAAAGCATCGGGAATAGATTAGCAAAATATATTCCTGATTATTATTCTTTGGAGTTTGACTCCTTGGAGCATATGTGGAATCTCTGAAAGCACTTTAGGATGCACATGGCTAAAGAGCAGTATTAAAATTTAAGGAGCTAAGTCACGATCTACTTTTTTTTTCCACTTAACATGACAAAAATGTATTCACTTCAATACTTCAACCCTTCAGTGAAAATAAGAAAAAGAAACCTCAAAAAGTGACTTTTGGGGGCCATTCCTGTTATATAACAATCACGTATTACTTATACTCAAAACTTAGCACATCGTACATATATCAGGTAGTTGTAGCGACCTGTACAATGTGATGGAGTTACTTGCAATCTTGTGTCTTGGTGGAATGCCATGGTTATTAAAGTGTATTTGTGATAGTGTTGCCTTAAAAAAGCTTTTAAATAGAAATTATAGTCTTCGATACCATAAGCTCTTTGAACCTTTCAACTCTGCATTTTATTATATTTCCTCATATAATTTTTAGCATATGTAACAAATAGATTGAATTTTTTTGTTGTACTATTCTTTTTTTTTCTTTTTTGAGAAAATAAGCCATTATGGGTTAGATGCAATCTGGATATAAAATAGATCTTATGTAAATATCAAAGATTATTTTATAAGAATATTCTTCATAACATATTGTGTCATTAACAATAAATATTTCCATTTGTTTTGACTTTTTTTTCCACACATGGTAAAGGCTATTTTAATTCATATTAGCAATTTAAGTCCTATTCATTTTTTGTGTTATTGTATTCAGGATAAAAGAGGATTACAGCTTATATTAAAATGCAATAATATCATTCTAATTTAATTCAACCAGAAGCAACATGAGAGTAAAGTAAGCATTCAGAGAACATACCATAAAGTACAAAAATAAAATATTTACACACACACACACACACACACACACACACACACACACAGAGTAATTTGGGTTTATTTCAGCAGACATTCTCCATTGCCATGCTGAGCCATAAAAGAAAATCGAAGTTCAGAATTGGAAAATAAGACTTGTTCTTTTTTTCTGACAGTATATTTTTAAGTGTTTGTGTTGAACACTTTATTGTGTGTTTATGTCCTAAGACTCATCACGGATTTTTTTGTCTTATTAGGTACACATCTGTGAATTTTTTATTCTAATTGAAATATCTCAATGATACTGTTTGAAGAGAATGTTAGTGCTGAAGAAAACAATGCTGTGATTTCATTATGGAAAATTTAAAACATTTTTCTGGAGCTTGAACTTTAATTTTTAATAATGTTAATCTAAGATCTCTGGTGTACTAAATATCTTGCAGAGTTTGGTTTAGGATAAGGATTTGAGAAAGAGAAAGATGAACATTATAGTTTTTAAATCAACATTAGCAGAACCATAGATAGGCTGAACACTTTTTGGGGAATTCTAAGAAGTAACCCAGTTAAAAATTTTTTAAATTATCTCCACTAGTTCCCAGGCTACCCCATGGTGACCTCAGGAATAAAAAGTAATTACTGATTGGCCTCTAATATACCTAGGGTACTACTTTAGATATTACAATGATTATTATTAATTAAGTGATACCTCAGTGTCCTAAAAGATGAATTTGTCTCATTAAATTCCAATCCTATTGCAGGAAAATACCATAGGCCTTTGGAAAATATAGTTTCATAATTATATAAAAGTAATAAAAATACTTAAAAGGAAAATAAACACATACTTTTTTTTCCCCGTGGAACAGAATCCTTATTATAGGGATAATAATAGGAACTACAGGAAATTAAAAAGCATAAAATGTCTTTATCAAATATTTAAGCAGACTATAACTTGGCAATAATTTGTGTTCTAAAAGTTAGTAAGCCAATTAGAATTCAAAAAAATTTTCTCTGTGTGTTTAGAGAAAAATGCAAACAATCTGAATAAAAGCTATATGAGAATTCCTGGTACTATATCTGCAACCCTTCTATAAGTGTCACCAAAAATGTATTTTTCCAGATAAATTAAATAATCTGTGATAGGCTCCCCAGGCCAGCCTACAAAGGCTCATTATTGGACCTTAAGCAAGATGAACATACAGTATTTTCATGAGAGAATACATTCAAAATCCACAACTGGATGTTAAAATATTTAAGCAATTCCTTTTCCCTCTGTCTTATCCAATTTGGAGGATAGAGGTTATGAAGACATTTTCAGACCAGACCACTGATGGTAGCCAGGGGCAGAGAACTGAGAGGTAATCTTTAAGAAAGTAAGGGACCAAAATAGGAGTTCCGATTTAGGAGTAGAATTGAGGATGGAAAAGAGAATGGACAGAGAAGGTCTATGACTGGTGTAGGGGCTAAGGGTTCTGAATCTTGTTGCCATATTATTCTAAAAAATATAATGTGGGGTCCCAAGCCTGCTTCCTATCAGCTTGTTTTTCCTGAGAATTCAAAGAGCTGTTCCTTCTGTTCTGATTTTATTGTTTCCATTCATGGCTTCTGGCCCCATTATTTTGTATCCAGTATACAAAATAAATTCATTTTTCATATATATTTTTCAAGCAAGCATTCAGTTCCACTGCAATTGTCTAAAGACATTTATATCGAGAAGCAAAGAGAAGTATAGAGTTAAAATATCTCTTCCCATTTTTCCTCATCTTTTTGTTTCCATCTAGATTTTGTAAGAAAATGCAAAGTTTGAACCTAAATACAAATAGATTCACTTACTCATTTTCATTTATTTATTCATTTCTTGAATGACTGCTATGTGCTGAGAATAATGCTGTTTTTGGAATTCAAAGATCAAGTATGGCCCACTTTATCAAGAAAGGAAAATGAAGGATGAACATAAGATAAGTAATTACAAAATTCTGTGCAGAGACTCAGTGCTTGGAGAAGCGTCTTGGGCTTAGAGGAGTTCAGTAAGCAGAGGAAGAAGGACTTGGTCCAAGCAAGTAAACAAGTATGCACAAAGAAATGGAATCTCGGAGATGTGTAGTGTATCTTGATGGCAAGTGGCCTGGGATGAGTTCGCAGTGAGAACAAGGACAGAATGACTATTTGGACACAAATCATAGAGGGGGCTGTTTGTGATGTTAAGGTGAATGATTATTATTAATCATCATTATTATTAATTACCATGGAGCCCTTTGTTCATAACAAATCTTACAAGAGAAAAAAAAAGCTAAAGAAAAAAAGTAAATCATTGGCTTCTGCCTCCCTCCCAACAGTTTTAAAACTAGTAGGCAAGGGAGATGTCAAATGTTAAAGGAAGAAATGGTATGAAAGGTAGGGTCAGAAGCAGCAAGGATAATGACGCGTACTGACTTGCAGAAATGACCAAATGAACATTCTTCTGTATCGCAGAAGAAAATGACTCATGCTATATCTTGGGTATTTTACTATAAGTAAGAACATGAAGCTGGATGTCTGGCATGGGAATTTGATATTGCTCTCCCAGTCATTAGTCCTTCATATCCTTTGGTAGGAAGGAAAGAAGAGTTTGCTTCTGCATTTTACTAAACTTTCCTCCAAATTCTTCTCCCTGATATTGCCTGTCATGCCAAGGCAGACCCTGCCAGGCCTGTCCTATGGTTAGGTTAGAAGCAGCCATAGGATGGAAAAAGGTGTTCCATGGGAGACATAGCAAACGAAAGGATGAAGGGGAGTGTTTTCTCCACATAGTGCTAGGGAGATAGACATGGTCCCCTGAGATTCCCCAGCTGAGAAAGTGCCCAAATGGAACTTTACATACAAATCTCGAATGAAGTCGGGGGCTATCAAATGCTTGAAAGCCACATTAAGTCCCCGTTAAAGCAACAGTTAATAGTCCCAAAGAGAATAGGTTAATGAACTATTGTAGTTTAAGTGCATGGATTTTGCCTGGATAAATCACTATTTATAAGTGAAAAGGAATCTCTTTGATACATAGTTGTTGGGGTGGCTTGATAGATCGCTACCCTTCACTGAACAATAAAACATAAAGAGTTTGTTTTGCCTGATTGTACACTTTGGTGCTATTTCACTCTTTAGATATCTGTACTTAGTTAAATGAAGGCAGACTTGAAGGGTGGAAGCATGAGAGGATATGACCCATGATTTGAGAGGTGGGAGAACAGTGCCTGGACCAGAGCCCTTGCAATTCCTGTACAGAAGGACTTAACCATCTCCTGCAAAACAAAAAGTCAGTGCTGCAGGGATGATAGAGAAGTGCAATTCCTTTGTCTAATCACGGGCTAAAAGCAGGGACAGCTTGCTTTATTAAGCAGAGAATTCCAAAATGCAATTTTGAACCTAAGCCTACAGTTTTATAATGCATGTCTTTGTTGGGATTTTTCTCAAGTCCTGAGAAATCTTGGTATCATCTGAGAAGGGAAGAATCACTCCTGTTCTGAGAGCCATGAGCTTGAGAAGTACTTAGTTCCTTGCTGAGTTTCCTTCTCTTTGCTTGTTTGCTTCCAGATTTTACATACACTGTGGTTCCCTTTTAAATCCTCCTTTTATTATATTTATGATGTATTATACTCCTCCGGTATTCTTACTTTAAGCCACTTAAAACATTTTATATTTTATTGGCATCTAGCTTTCTCTTTAAGCGGCTGTGCTCTTAACCTGCCATGTCTGCATCTGTTTTGGCAAGTTCACATGAACTATACACTTTTTCATCCAAAACTGTTTTCTTTTTTCTTTAATGCTCATTTCTTCCCATATTCAGTGCATGATAAAAAAAAAAATAGCAAAGGCTGTATATGCATAGATTCTAGTTTAAAAAAAAAAAAACAAACTAAGCTAAAGGGAGGAAGAAGTCATATTCTGAAAGCCAGGCTTTTTTTTATCATCAGTGCAGATTTTTTCCATCATAATAAACTTAGTTTCAGGAAAACGTCAATATTTTAGATTTAAACATTGGGATAGAAACAGGACAAAAGTTAAATGGAAGATCCAAGACTTAATCTCAAACATTCTGATAGAAGATTTTGGATAAGTTTGTGCTGCCTTTAAATTTCTTAAGTATTTAATGTCATAATATTAAATTGCCAATAAACCTTACAGATTGTGAAGAAATCTGCTTGGCAGAAAAGTACTTCGCATAATGCCCAAATCTTAAAGTAAGATGTTTGTTTAGTCTGAAATGTTGCCAAACCCATCTGTGTTTAGGAAAGAACTATGAGGTGGTCCCAGAGAAAACTAGAAACAGAAACAAAAATGCTGTTACATAAATTGGACAATCTAACATACACACCTGGAATAAAAGGGACAAACTGAAGCCTTTTGGAAAATTATAGTGACAGTGGTCATGGAATTCGGTGCCTTTAGAAATGATGATGCCCCTTGACTCAAGGATGTGCAGCACCCAGACCCTGTTTTATCACAGTGAGCTGCCTTCTTCCCCAAACAACTTACATCTTGCAAAACTGAAGTGAATAAAAATATACTAGTACTTGAGAATTTACTGCTTCTTCACCTCTTCCTGCATATAAATTAAAGACACCCTGCAAAATCTTAACATGGAAATGATATTCACTAATCTTGAACAGTGTTCTCCAGCCTTTTAGATTCCTGCACACTATGAGTAAAATAGAACATTGACAATATATTATAAATGTAACATGTTTATAATACAAATATTAACATTTATGCTTAATAAATATAACACGCTGCTTTCAAGCTGAATATTACGATATAGTAGTAAAGCTTATTTTATTTTTTTAAGTGAGTGTGACTATAAATAGGAATGTTAGTATTTTCTTCTTTTACCCCAGTGTATCATCTTTATATTTTACTTTGGAAACTGCTACAATTGGCCAATGGGTCTTCGGTTTCATTGAGTCACATATCGCTTTGAGAACTGGATAAAAGATACAGACCATCACTCCTTCAAAAATGTGCATATAACCTTATAACCCAAGGCATATATTTCTGGAGGTTTAGGAACTCTCAGGAGTCCACTACTCGGCCATGCCAGTGAGGTAGCACAGACCCTCAGACTAAGAACATGTTATTTGGAGGGACAAAAATAATAAGGTTGAAATGAGAATGAATGGGAAAAAGTCTGTGACTTTTGGTTTGGAAGAACCATTTTTGGTTTTTGAGGATAAAGAAAATTTGCGTTTGTGTGTGTGTGCATGCATGTGTGCGAATATGTGTGTGTATGTGTGTGTGTGTGTTTGCTCTTTTCTGTGGATCGATTCATGGGTCTTCATATATAGGCAACTAAAGTTTTCAGTAAATAGCATATCTCTCAACATATTTTTCTCTGGCTTTTGGCAAATGTGCATTGCTATTGATACTCCATTTTTTTTCCCCCTAATTTAAATATTTCATTTTCTCTCTGTGCAAAAGAGGACGGCTATTGGACCTTGCACTGAAAACCTTGACACTAACAACACTCCTTTTATTATAACTTTCACAGTTGCTTTAAATAACATGTTTATTTTGAGTTCTGCTTCTGGCAGAGTTGCAAAGTCTATCAAATGTTATCCTGTGTCTCAGAAGCTTGTTAGCTGCCACATAAATATTGTAATAAAGGTGTTTAAATAAAATTCTTCTTAAAATTTAAAACGAGTTCTGTTTGAAAAGAAAAGTGAAGCATTGAATCGAATAAAAACAATATTGTTCCAAGTCATACAAATGTATTTGTTCTGATACAGAGAAAGGAAACTTCCAAGATAACTGCGTGGAAACACAGGACCCATAACCTTGTTTCAGGCTTTTGCTATGTACAGATCAATGCATCCAAAATCTATTTTCAAAAGGCTATTGTTAATAGCTCATGTGTATCCTACACAAACAATCTGTCTTTTCCACCCCATTTCTTTAGCTGTTGCTCGCTCATTTTATGGGCCTAATGTATACCATAGCCTGGTGGCATGGATCCATAGGACAAGTTGGGACAATTGCTCTTAGAAAGTGCCACCACAAGCAAAAACTAGACTCATTTATTCCTATGGAACTGGAAACACTAATGTCCACCAGCTTGCCAGGAAGCAGCAGAGGGGGCATCATCGACTTGTGCACCCTAACTGAAGTAGGTTCCACTTGGGGGATTCTGAGAATGGTAAACAGCACCACTTTCTTTCCAAGGCACCATGTGCAACCTGGGGCTGTACTTCTTGTGTGGAAGCCCAGCATTAATTTCTCTTTATTCTGAAAACACCGCTGTGTACAGTTGGGGTAGGAAAGAATAAAGAAGGGACACGAGCTCTTCAAGTGTTTAACGCAGTACTGTGATCATGAGGCCTGCAGATGACTATAGAGATCTCTCCAAAATAAGGCCATCCTTGATTACTCAGAGAAGCTTCCTGGATGGATAACTGACTGATTATTTATGCAAGCGCTGTAAGCTATTGTCCCCATGATTGGAGTCATAGTTAGAATGGTGCTATAAAATTTCCCCTGACTGGCTGAAGTCAAAGACACCACCCAGGCCAGATCGTACACCATCAGGTTAATTACATCTGGGATAAAAATAAATGACAGTTACTATGAACCTGCGCCAAAGAGTAATACCTAAGCCATAGACTAGAAGATGAAATGGTAGAATTGGAATCTAGAGAAGTCAATGAATTAGCCTACAGAGGTTTTACTGGATTTACTCTTAATTGTATAATCAGTATCGTTAGCACAATCCATGATAAGTAATGTCATGATATTTATTCACAGACTCATCACTGAAATGTGACTCATCTTCTCCTCTGGATATTTTTTTCCTACCCCAAAGAAAATGGTTTTGTATGCTGCTCCCCTTCTTTCCCGGCTTTCTGGCTTCACTGCTTACTTTTTCTCGAACCTCGTTCTCAACTCACAGGATGAACTACCTCCTACTACATATTCTTGATGCTCAAATGTAATGAAAAAAAATGGAAAAATGAATTAGTGTTGGGAAATAGGCCAAGGATTTTGATGATAATGGAAGGAGGGTTTCCAGCCGTGAGAATACAGGTAGGAAAAAAATCTTTAGGACCTGAAATGCATCTGCCTTCAAAAAGAACAAAGACACATTTTCGACTCCTCAAGTCCAAAACTAGTAAATAATGCTATTTCTTTGTAAAAATCCACACACTTGTATAATACATACAACTGACTCAATAACTTTTAGATCACTGAATAGAATTATACATAATTTATGTTTTCTCATTTTTTTATTGGGATAATTACTCAATATTCATAAGTTTCTTTTCTGTTTAAGTCAACTACAACTAGTTTCTATTGCTTTCAATGCAGAATTATGACTGATGGAGAGACCAAGAATTTCCATGACAGTTAATCCTGGGATCCTGGAGACACATCCTTCTTTCAAAGAATGTTGCGGCCATACATTGGGGGAAGCGGGGCAGTGTCTTACATTATATATAAACTACATCAGTATGATTCATGTGTGAAACACAAAACGGTCATCAGGAGAACAAGAGATAAGTACATAAAGTAACAGGATATGTGCGGAAATAAAGTGGAAGACTTTCTACTGTTGACATCTCCAGAAAATTAACATAGATGTGTAACTTATATATATGTCTCATGTTATAACAGCTTGGGCTGTCATAACAAAATACTGTCGACTGGGTGGCTTAGACAACAGACATTTATTTCTCATAGTTCTGGGGGCTGGGAAATCCAAGATGAAGGTGCTGGCAAATTTGGTTCTTGAGGAGGCCCTTCTTCCTGGCCTGCTGTGTCCTCACATGGCAGACTCTCTTTTTATAAGGACACTAATCTCATCATAGGAGCCCTATCCTCACCCTCATAACCTCACCTAAACCTAATTAGCTCCCTAAAGCCCAAATACCTCCTAGTACCATCACATTGAAGATTAGGTAGGGCTTCAACTGATGAATTTTAAAGAATACAAACATTTTATCCTTAGAAGGTCTTCAAGAAATCTCAAAATTTGGTTCAGGAAGAATATTCAGCACACACTATTAGTATCTTATTGCTGCTATAACAAATTACCAGAAACATGGTGGCTTAAAACAACACAAATTTATTATTTTATAGTTCTGGAAATCAGTAGTCCTAAAATCAAGATCAGCAGGGTGGCATTCCTTCTGGAAGCTCTAGAGAAGAATCCTTTTTCTTGCCTACTCCAGCATCTACAGGCCCCCTACATTATTTGGTTCATGGCTCCTTCCTTGCATCACTCCAGAGCTGTTGCTTCATCACATCTTTTCTTTGACACTCCTGCTTCTCTCTTATAAAGACCTTTGTGATTATATTGGGCCCACTCAGAAAATCCAGGATACTCTGCTCATATCAATATCCTTGCCTTAACTACATGTGCAAAGTCTTTTTTGTTAGGTAAGGTAACATATTCACAGACTCTGGGAATTAAGACAAGGACATGTTTGGGTGGGGGAGGGGTGGGCGTTATTCTGTCTACCACAACATACCTAATGTGACATAGGTGGGAAGAGCTACGTCACAGCTCAAGACTTTCCAACTCCGTTCACTCTACAGTACTTTTTTGTTGTTGTTGTTGTTCAAGTGAATCACCTTTATCCAGGTTAGACTGGAAAAACAACAGATTTCCATAGCAAGCCCAAAAAGTAAGTCTGAGTAACCTTGGAAATTATGGCCAATTATTTGTGGTCTTTTTTACTGATTTCTTGGCAGAGATGAAAATGAAAGCAACAGGGTACAAAGAAGAAAGAAGAGCAGCTCAATCTAGTGAATGCACACTATTTTGGTAGCTAGAACAGAAAAACATACCTCAGGGTGATTTGATTTTCATTCTCTTAGGAGAATAGAATGGAACAAATACGAGCTGCTTTATTCTGCTGACTTTGGCTCTGATCCGGGGGTTGGACAGATAATAAAAGAAGGTATCAGGAAACCATGGCTTATATTCTCTACAATGCCATTTTTGGATTTAAGGATTAACTTAACTCAAACACAGCACCTATGAAATGGACTCTTTATGTTATTATAAACACATTTCTTAAATGGATCATAAAGTTCACATTTGGTGAGCATTTCAACCAAAATGATAAGGTTTAACTGCCCCTGGGTGAGACTATAAGAAAGTATTTTTAGTTCTGGTTTCATGGGAATCTTAAAATATTCCAGGGCTTCTGAGAACACAATTCATTCCTTTACTAATTATAACTTCTGTGCTAAGATGTTAATTTTTCATTATTCTTCAACAAAGCAAAATGTGTAAGAGGTTTTCTGATGTAGAAAAATAAAGTTTTACTATGTGACCTTTAAAATACCTTTCAGTGCTCAAAGTAGATGAACCTTTGATATATTCATGGTAGATCTATCCTTATAAAAAAGTCTGACAATCTCTCCCAAGCACGTGTAAGTGTGGGCTGTAGCCAAGGTAGGACCAGTTCATTTTTATTTTAATCAACTCGACCCCAAAAGGATAACATTAGAGCTAAATCTAATTTTCATAAGCTTTTGTTCAGAAATAAAACATTTTTATTTAATTATAAATATCCTGGTAT